TTAGTTAGATTGGCCTGTTCTGGCCTATTTCTTTGCCTTGCACAGTAACTTCCTGTAGTGTTCACTGTGAGGTTGGCAGGCTTTCAATCTATCTTTGTGCTAAGCTAAGCTAAGTGCCTGCTGTTTGTAGCTTAATATTTACCCAACACAGTCTCACTCCGACCTTGCCACATATCGACATTTGGTCATGCACTCTCCACGTCGAGATATGACGCGCAAGGTACCCTGGGTGTGTTGGTTGTTGACGTTCTGGCACGCAGTGTCAAGTTCTGCCTGTTACATGCATTATGTTCTTTCAAACTCACTTCCATTTTCACAGGAAATTTACCGTTTATTTACAGTCTCTTTCAAAATAAAAGCACTACGTCAGCACAACTACATGAATTGATGTTTTTTTTTCTTCCAACAACTAACGCACGTGGTTGGGTTTAGACAACAAAAACACATGGTTAGGTTTGCGAAAACAAAACCGGGTTTGCGGGACGTGAACACCACTCTCCCGATAGAGGGTTGGTGTTTGTTGGACCCATCCACCACGCTCCCACCTGTCCAACTCGTTGCCTTAACTTTTGCCATAACACCCACCGGCTGCGTATCATGCCAACGTTAAAGGAGGGCTTTTTCGTCACAGTCTGACACTGCAAGTCACTGCCCAAGCGCCGGATTTCGACAGGGTTGATTTACCATATCAACATGAGAGTAGTGTGGATCTTCTCATCCAACTCTCGGCAAGAAAGCAAATAAGAGTATTTTCTAAACTATTCTTTTAAAGGCCAGTTCAGTTGTCTTTTTTGCCGCTACTTTCTGTGTTACTGAGTCGGCATATTGAGCTATACATTCAGTGCCATGAGGTCTGCATACATGATCCAACACAACGAGACCACAATCAACACCCCTCAGCAAATCCCCCACAAGGCAGCACACATACATCCTGTGCAGTGGGGTGATGCTGGAATAACAAATCCTCTGCCACTTTCAGCAGTTCAAGAATTATCTCACTATCCACTCTCTCTGCCTGACAGTCTCGTGCATGTCCGAGCAGACCAGGAGGATGAGAGTGGGAATGGGAGGTAGTCAGGAGGAGTTGGGGGGGGGCAAGTTTGCTTGATTTTTTTTTTTTTTTTTACCTTTTTTTCAGTATGTGCTTTAGTTGCACCCACTTCCTTCATGGTAACAGCTGTCAAAACGTTGTCGGATTACAGCGCACCGCAAAGTTACAGCTCATATTAGAGCCTGGTACAGGGCAGGATGTTAGGAGGAGTCCAGCAAGCGGGGTACATTAAAGCCTCTCAGTTTCTCAGAGCAAAGCAGCTAGGACCCAGGGGAGGAATAGCTAACACCAGGAGGGTGCTACTCCTGCACTGCTAATTTAGGTACACGTGTCAGGGATATGGAGGGCTTTTCCACTGATGTTTTAGGTATTAGAGGAGATACACTCAGTAATTGTGTGTTGTTTTCGCAACCGGACGTGAAGTTCCTATTCAGCCTGGGATCACAAAGCCCCTTTTCTCTTGGGCTTGAGCTTCGGGGCTTGTATGATGAGGTCGCAAGATATTTGCGAGATTGTTGAGAGAGAAAACTCCCTGAAATCTCCACTCATCTGCTGAGGGAATACAGCCTGTTGAAATAATATCAGTTCAGCAGGGTAATTCTCCGGCAACTACGTACGCGGAGGGCTGTAAACCCAAAACAGAAATGTTTATATCTCGCACTAATGACTTTCATAGTAACTTTGTTTGACATTGAAGTAAAAAACAACACTGCCACGGTACTGTGCAGTGTAATATGACAGAGGCCTTGATAATCAGTTTACACTAAATCAATATAAAATGTCATAGCAAAGTGAGGGTGATCCTGCATGAAACTGTGAAAATCCAACAACGTCCGTATCAGATTCCAAAAACACTTAACCTCAACAATGACGTCTGATCACATAGAAGGAGGGCTTTTTTCTCCAGTCACTGTTTTATCAAAAGGTGGTTTGAACAGGAGACTTTCTGGTCACTTCCAATTTGCTGCTGTAGCAAAGGGAAAAATCCCTCAGTGACAGTGTTTCATTGGAGCTGTTTTGCTCAATTCTTTTGAGTTGGAAGCAGAAAACGCAGGAACAATAAGCAGTCCACAAAAGTTCACATTCTGTACAATCTATTTTAGATGAAACAATCTCAACTCAAGCTCCACTTAAATGCTTGTGCTTGAGCTTTTGACTGCATCATTTATGAGTTTTCTATGATATTCTGACAGAATTATCAACTCCTTACACTACATCTTCATTCTGATATTGCCTCAATTCAATTTACCCTGATCAATCACCAGAGACCACGTTTCTAACATCATTTCAAGTCCACACTGATGCGTTACCATGCCAACATATGACTTTTGCTGGGGTTTGAAGCGTGGAGCAGAGTAAAGTAAATACAAACTAAGACTTTGGGTGATATTGCAAGAACGAGGATTCATACCAGCCTTGAAAGCTGCGTCTATCTTAGTGTCTATCGTGGTCGCCATTGTTGTTTTTACTCCTTATTGGTTCCAGCATATTGCTCGACAATGCTTTACAACAGCTTGACAATGGTGTGAGTCCCACCTGTGGCACTGATTGGCTAATCATTAGTTAGCCAATCAGCAAGGGGATTGTTTTGTTAGCTGCTGTTTTCAATGTCAAGATGAACATTTTAAGTTTGATTTGCTATGACTAGGGGATAATCTATTCCATAAAAATGTATTATTGATCATTTAGTCTATAAACTGTCAGAAAGTTATGAAAAAGTTTCGTCATATTTCCTAGAGCCAAAGCAGACACTCATGTTTGTATGTATACTGTTGTATTGTCTGATTAATAGGCAGAGGCCTAGTGAGGCTTTAGGAAAAGTTCAGTCAGGAAGACAATACTTGTAATGTTTCTTTCTCACCATGCTATTCACTCCTTGCACACATGCTCACTCTTGTTGATTTTAGCACTGGTCATCGTTGACTATGTTGCTTGCATTGTTCATTTTAGTCAAACCATACAGTTTGAAAACGAGGCGCGGCTCCAACTAGAAAACGATGTTTTGATGCATTGGATGTGCTGAATGTGCACATCAAGGCAGTAGAGGAGGAGGCTCACCAGAGTTTGTTTGGAACCAGACCGAGACTTTTTTGGGGAGTTTTACCTTATCTGCTGTGAGGGTCCAAGGGACAGAGGGATGTCATGTGCTGTAAAACCCTCTGAGGCAAATTGTGATTTGTGATATTGGGTTTTATAAATACAACTGATTGATTGATTGAATCGATTGGTGATCACACCTGCATAAACCGCACTTAGGGGGCAAACAAACTTGAGTTCGATTGAGCCGAACCAAAGAGGGCAGGTGTGAAAGCACCCTAAGTCATCAGCTGTGCTTCAGTTGATTCACAATCAACCAATTGCGCAGCGACCCAGCTTCTCCATTAGCCTGTCATCTCACTGCTTCTTGTTTTAAATATGGCTCTTGTTCTGCCTGAAGTTCTTTCTTGTTGCAGCCATGCGCACCTTCCACCTCCCCATTATCATCTAGTCTTCTCAGATTCGTCAGCCTCAACTGCCTCATCAGCCGTCAGCCGCAGAGTCATCAGCCACCATAGCCTCCACCAGTGTCTCCAGTGTCTCCCTCTGGTGTCCAAGCGCCAAAGAGTTCTGTTAAATCTGTTCATCTGTACACTTATAGTCTGTATTAAACATTATCATTACTTCATTCATCCGTCTCTTCTGACTGAAATGGTATTAAATCTTTTAAGATATAAAACTGACATAAGTAGCAAAACCTTTATTTCAATGAGCAGCTACTTACTAATACCTTATAGTAATGAACTGATTAAAGTGAATGCTCAGATCGCCACTCAAGAATGAAGCCAGACATGAAATAATTTAAAAATTCATTTATTATTTCAGATTTTTTTCGCCTTTGTTATACAAAGATGTTAAATAACTTAAATACATTCTTACCAGTCATTTGTGATCTGTTTATACCTACAAGCTATACACATGAGGTAGAGGAAAATAATTTAGGGTTCCCATAAGACATGAATAAGTGAACATGGACAAAGCTTTGTTGGTGTAGTATCATCACAAAGGGCAATACATGGTTGATGTGTTTTGTCTTTGTTTTACAAGCACAGCACAAATCCTAACAAAAAGTACATGTACATGTAAAGTGATCCAAAGAGTATAAACTAGACCACGCTGATGCAATCATGAGTTTATACCGCATCATATGGTGATAACCAACATTACAAAGTCTTTTCACAGAAAGAGTCGATTATACAAACAGATCAAATCCTATAAAAAAATATGGTTGATGACTGTGATTTTGTTTGAATACTCGCAAAAATGTGTCATGATCGTGCACATGAGTAAAAGACAGCTAAAGGTGAGTTGATTCTAAATTTGTTAGGATTTGTTAGTGCTTAGATAACAGCAAACTGTGAGATATGAAATGAAATATGCTTAAAGTATACACTGCTTCTCGAAGCCTCCACCCCAAAAAAGGAACAAACACCCAAAAGAAAAAAACAGAGTAAAAAATACAGGATATAAAATCAATTTAGACTTTGACGTTATTTACACTAAACACATGCTCATAATATATTTAAAAATAATTTATCTTTTATTTTTTTTCTACAAAACAGAATTTTGTACATGATCCACTGACGACTAAACAGTGCAGAGTTTTGGATTTGAAAATATGGACTGACTGTGACATCTGAAAACTGACTGGCTGCTGCATCATGCTCCTCCATCTTGGGAGAAATTTTTAGGCCTATGTACAATCTATAAACAAACAAAAATGCACTCGCTGTGCATTTGGTATTCCTGTCATGCCTGTTTTGAATCTACTCAATAGTAGAGAACCTCAGTGAGTTTGGGCCGAGGAGTGTGTGTGTGTGTGTGTGTGTGTGTGTGTGTGTGTGGAGAACGCACACACCGAAAGCTGTGGGAAGCAGGCATTTATGCTTCAGGTCTCAGCATAGCTATTATGGTTTCCATGTAGCGTGCAAAGTTCTATGTATATGTTTTGACCAGTCTTTATTTGGCATGCCTTCTCATATCAAAATGCTTGGAATTCATCTCCTCAGGACAAATAACCCATGCAAGGCTCCCCTCCTAAAGCATGATACTGCTGTCGAGGACGGTGCTTTAATTTCAAATATAGTGATAATCATCTTTGAAGTATAAACCATCTGTTAAAAGGTAAAAGCCACTTTTAAGGACATCTGGCATGGTGCTGCATCGCTGATTACAATCTGTAACCGTCTTGTTCAACAGCTGCGCGCTGTTTCTACAAATGTCTCTTGCGTTTCGTACTGCTACCAATTTCTGTTTCAGTTGCTTGTGAGAGTTGAACATGTGCCTCACTTTTGTCTCTATACCACAGGAGAAGAAACCTTTGCTATTTACAATTTAATAGAAAAAAAAAATCTGCACTGCACTGTATCCATAAATACAGATCTTAAAATACTTTAAAGGGCTTTTGGGCTTCAGTGCGTGAATGGCGCTATAATACAAAGCTGGGTCCCTCACTCAGTAGTTAATTCACACCCATCTAAAACAAGGCATATCTTATAGTATATAACATAATGTTCCCAGAGGCTATGAGCTGAGAATACAATGAAATATGATTGTCTGCATTGTTTGTGTGTTCAGAGGCATTTGTCAGAAAATTAAACCTTTGACTTCATGGTTATGTCTCAAAGCAAAAGTTTGACATTTTGGGCAATGAGCTTATTCATTTTCTTGCCAAGAGTTGGATGAGAAGATCAGTACCACTCCCATATCTGTCGGGTAAATATGAAACTACAGCCAGCAGCCAGTTAGATTAGCATAAATACTGGAAACGGGGAAGCAGCCAGGATTGCAACTCTAAAGGCCCTGACACACCATAGTAGATGTTGGTGAGCGTCTGTTGCCCTCATCAGTGTGGTGTGTCCCGCGCTTTTGCCCCTTGTCGGCCCCTGTCAGCTTTTTGTTCTGCCGAATCAGCGACGATGGAGTGAAATCACTCTGATTGGCGGTTCAGCTTAGCGCACAAGAGTAGAAACAGAATTCAGGAAAGTTAAAAAAAAACAGCTTAAATCAGGGGAGTGAGACCAAATCAAACTTGTTAAATAAGGTAAGATTATTTTTCCTTAGCCACTGTTATGTTGCTGTTATTGTTCACTTGCACGCAGTAAATATGCTTAGATTGCGTTGTTAATGTGCTAACTAGCTAACTAGCATAAGACGGTCTTCCAGCTCCCCTTTTCAATGAGGAATACAGACCACAGACGTCTGCTGGTATGGAGAGTTACTTCCTCTCAAGTAGGTGCAGAACATACATGCCAGTTAGCTGTTGGCTTTAGTCTTTGCAAAGTGTTCATGTGCAACTTTTTGGATGACCCTGACGTGAGGCGACGGTTTGGTGTGTCTGGGCCTTAAATCTCACTGATTAAGAGTGGCAAGTCCAAAGTCAAGACTGGGAAGTCCCAAGCTCTAAATTTCGTGGGTCAAGTCCCGAACAAGTCATAATGTGTTCACCAAACGTAATGAGTAGTTATACATTTGATTTACGAAAATCATGAATGCTTTTTAATTTTTTTTTTACTTATTTGTTAAAACAAGTTTCTTGGAGGTTGTTGCATTTCCATCTGTAATTTTAGACCCACAACTTTGCAGAACTGTTAGTTCCTCATGGTTCTTTCCTGCAACTTGATTTGGATACAGTCAGATTGGCTCAAACAAAGTGAATGTGGGAAATTCAAGCATCAACTTGCTGGGAATGAACAGCGCTAGCATTAGTTGATTCAGTAAATGATGGGAAATTAATTAATTTGTTGGTTTCTTTTAAATCTTTGGGCTTGGGGGAAAATTATGAGGTATTTTCAAGTCAAAAGGCTAAAGTCCAAATCATGAGGGTCATAGGTGTTATAGTCCAAGTCAGGCCGCAAGTCTTTTTATTTTGTCATTTGATTTTAAAGTTGAGTTTAAAGTCATCAAATATGTGACTCAAGTGTGACTCAAGTCCAAGTCCTGTGACTCGAGTCTACATCTCTGTTGATTAGCATGTTTTATCTTGTGTTTCCAGTCTTTATGCTAAAGCAAGCTAACTGTTCTAGCTGTAGCCTCAAACATTGGAGCGGTATAAACCATATAACTGAACAAAGTGAATGAGTATTTCACAAACCGCCTAACTGTTCCTTTAAACTGTCACCGTAGTTGCATGGCAGGGTATGTGTGTCAACTGTGTCACTGTTGTGCCGAGCAACAATTGAACAATTTCACTGACTTCTGACATGCAAAACCCCAGTGTTTGCATTCAGACATCAATTTGCCGAACATTACACAAATATTAGTCTTATAAAATATATTTATATTAGCTATGAGACTTGCGCATTCATCTTCACTTGAGCAACTCTGCAGACACGTCAAGTTAGATTTCTGTCTCGGTCGCCCCATACTGTTTGGACTGACCGTCTCCATGTGTTGAATATGGCTCAATCAAATCATGGCAGCTGAAGAGGAAAGAAGGATGTGAAATGGTAGGGGGCTACATTCCTCCAGTTCTCCACAGTTTTGTTTACAACTTCAAAGTATTAAAAGTTAAACAAACAAAAAAATATAGATTTAAGCTCTGCGGAGCTCAACAATTTCTGATGTGAGTCACACGTGGACCGTTTGCTGGTCAAGTGATCACCTGTTGTAATGATGTTGGCTGTACTAACAAGGCCACTGTCATCTCCAACTTGGATATTATTTGTATTTGCACTTTTCCTCTCCTATTTTATCCAAATACTAGTTATAGTGGTTTAAGTTATTCCCTGAACACTGGTTCGCTCAAGGCCGAGAATAGCCTAAACTGACTGGTTTAGTTATTTTCTGTTAATGCATTTACTAACAGCTTCATATTATATTATTAAAGAAAAGAGATCTTATTTTTCTCCCTGTGAAGGAGTAGTCCCAAAGGATCTATAAATTATCCACAGCAAGACAATGGACACAAGTGTGCTGCTTTCCAAAGGGCCTCGTCGACATGAATCAAGAAGAAAAACGAGCGAGAGCACACAAACAACAAAACATTTGTGTGGTTAGTGGTTTGTTTTAACATAGTTAGATAAGTGGCTTGTATAATATCATTACAATATAACTGAATTTATTTACATACATATGCAAACACACAATGTGTGTGAGTGTAAATATGTGCGTGTAGAGTAAATCTTACACCCTGTCTTTTTTTTTTTTTTTTTAGCAGTCTCTGAATATGGTTTTCATTGCCATAAAAGTCGTCATTTGAAACCCCCACCCCCCAACTATCTACCACATGCTCACGTACAAACACACACATGTAAAGATTGACAAACACACACACACACACCATTCTTCTTTGGGATAGACCCCAGAAACCAGTCTGTTGGTGTTACTGTCCTTGTGTTGGATCCTTATTGACTGGACGCTAAACTCTGTGAAAAAATTTGATTTTTGAATAGGAAAATAAAAGCTTCTCTCTTCAAGGCAAAGCCGTGATAAAAAAAGACAAGAAAAAGGCTTGAGATGTTGACCCAGTTGTCTGAGAAGGTTTTTATGGATCTGCAAACCCCAGACACACACAGGGGCCACAGGACCTCTGAAACCCAACCCACAGAAATCCCTCAAAGTGCTTATTGCTTCTCCATCGGCTCACTCCTCTTTTGTTTGCAGAACACTGTTCCGACAGTGGAAGCAAAACCTTATTTGAGAACATAACAGCCACTCCTCTTCAACACAACCATCTTTCACTTGCTCCACTGACCGCAGGGGCTGACAGGGTTTACCCTTTGCAGGTATAGACCTCTTCTCTCTGTGTGCACTGCTTGCATTCGACGTAGCAGCACCAGCGCACCTGGCACTGGCAGGGCCGGGTCACCTCTCTACTTTGAGTGTTGTGGCCTCGCCCGCAGCAGATAGCGTCGCAGTTCTTGTCCTTGTAGCACTTGCGGGCCGCCGTGCCCGACGAGTACTTGCTGGGTCTACAGAAACTGGGCGAGTCCTCGATGTGGAGCAAGTCCATAGTGCGAGGGATCTGATCGTTCAGGCCAGGCAGGGGCTGCTGCTGCTGCTGTTGCTGCTGCTGCTGCTGCTGCTGGCTCCGCCCTGTGGAGATCTCTCCCTCCCCCGTGGCCTCGTTGGTGGAGCTGCCGACCTTAATGGAGGTCTCGTAGCGCTGCTTCAGCTGCTTGCCGATCTCGTGGAAGGGCAGGAGCTGCCTCCAGCAGGTCTGGACGGTGCAGGAGCCGGAGACGCCGTGGCATTTGCAAGTGGTCTCCACTCCGGCCTTGATTACCTTGTTCGGAGACAATGAAATATTGTTAACTGACACGAAACATTAAAGGAATGTGATGAAAGCTGTGTCATTTCATGAGCCTTTGTTTAGTAAGCAGCATTTCAAAGAGCCAAATTACCCAAACATGCTCATAATCAGACGGTGAGGGTGGAGGGCAGTGGTTTGGGAGGAATGTAGAGACAACATGGAAGATTATTACATTCACTGTTCCTTTTTGATATCACAATAAAAGGGATAAACAGAGGCTTAACATATTGCATGTAAACTATGATTAACGTAATTCAAAAGGAGAACACTGTTACACTTTGTCTAAGCCTTCATATAAAAGACTAAGAGAATATCAGTTGGTGGGAGGATTGATTTTGTTATAACCACGGATGACATTTTGATCAAACTCAATAACTGTTATTATGATAAGTGAGGGGAGGATATTGCTAAGAGAGGTGCTTTCAGATACATAATCCATCCAGACAGCCATGGGAAAGAGGAGACCTGTAGAAGCTGAGCACTATTCTTATCCTTCTACTGTACCTGTGTTTTCTAAACCCACAGCTGATCAGCCCAAAGTTCTAGTGTTGTAATTATGTCATTATCTAGAGAATAAGTCGTGCAAACGGTTGAAAAGAGAGAGACAATAATAAAGAAGGTCCTCTCTATCTAAAATCATACATAATTGCAAGTGAAACACGGAGGTCGTCAGCAAAAGTGACCACAGACACGTTTATTTAACGCTACTTGACCTCATCGCAGTCAGCCAAAGTTCACTTCAGCATCAACCGCAGAGTAAAAGCAGTGTGTGTGCGAAAATCAATGACAATAACACATTGTCTTAGATGGAGTTTGGATAGCATCTACAGTTCTTTTCTCAGACTGTGAAAGAGATCGGGGAACAGGAAGTGCATATTCATCACACCAGCAGGTCAAGAAAATTTGATAGGTCAGCTTTAAAATGTCGGGGGGATGCAGAGGCTAGCACATTCCAGCTCTGTCCTCCGTGTGGGAATTCATCCCGAACGACTGCGGTGTACCTCACTACATGTGCAAATCACACACACACACACACACACAAAAAAAAAGAGCAAAAACAATGTTGTAAATCTTTTATCACAAATGAAATCTCTGGAGAGATTGGATTTTGGAGAGCCAAGCTGAAAAGGAAGAGCCTGCATTGGTCTTTTGGGAGAGTTTTGTGTCTGCTAACATTTGGGAAGTGTGCCTCTGCTATAATTCATTTTGAAACCAAAATGAAAATGGCTACAATATGAGAAAAGCCGAGTAAAAGCAACAGATTCCAGACCTTCAGTTTGCTTTGGCTTGACAGATTAAGACCATTCCCTCTTTTTTATTTTACTATTAAAAACACTTCCAAGATGAAAACCCCATATTTGCTCACCACAAACAATTACTGAATTGTGCCAGAGCACGAATGTGAGTCGCTGCCTATCTAATCTGGGAGAGAAAACCAAATATTGACTAATGAGCACTTTCAGATTTCACCAAATTTACAGTGGCAATTACTTTAATCAGTTTAGGTTTCTTTTTTTCCCTTCAGATTTCTCGGAGATGCCTGAAACTCTACACTGTGTTGTCAGTAATTCACTCTCCCAAGCTTCCCCATGTATAACTCTATCAATATCATTCTCTCTGGTCGTATGAAATTCCTCTCTGGTCATTCTTAACCGTATATTTGGACAGCAAGTTTTGTCTTGGACAGCAGTCATTTACCAGCGCTGTAATGTTTAAACTCCAGCATTACAAAAGCAAAACCAAAGATATGGTAGTACAGTATATCCGGGATAAGGCGCACAATGACTTGGCACTTCAAGCTGCTGTTTGTCGACATAATTGCACAGATCTCAGTCTGTATTATATTATCACAGCTTTCCCACAGTTTAACTGATCCATGGGAGCAATTAGCCAACATTTCTGTTTAAATACTGTCTGTGACTCCAAATGAACTCTGTTCTCTTTATGAGTGTGTCCTGGTTGAACTTATTACTTTGATAAAAGGCAAATTACAGCGACAGTTGGCGTAAAGATACTGCTTTAAAATTATTGTTTAATTTACTTATCCTTTTCTTTGAATTTAACTCCCTAAAATGTAACATCACTGAGTCACTAAGTCACAGTTTAATGTTTTAGACAAGTTATGAGCTTGGAAAATACTGTTGCTGTCAAAGTCACAGATGAGCATGATAATCTATGGAGGAGTGAATGGTGAAAGATAGAGACTTCCAATAATTCAGTGCTGCACTTCCATGACCTTTTGGCACTCGCAAGAGTCATATTAAAGCGAGAACGGTGAAAATCGATGCAGCCGTGCCTGAGATATTCAGACTTTTTGTCCCTAGGATGGGTCAAGCTCCAAAACCACTGCGTCCTACACTTTGTGTGCAACTTGATAGTATCTTGTGCTTTCTGCTTGGTAAACCTTCCACATTGTTCACGACAAACCAAAACAATTAACAAAAACTCTCCATAGGGCCGAGGGAAACTGCAGCCTTTTCAAATTGTTCATGTAAATTAGATTCATTGATGATATAAAAATATCTACTCAAGCAGTTTAAGTGAAAGAGATGTCATTTAAATTATTGTCTAGGCTCCACCGAGTATTATTCCCATTACTAGTAAAATGACTTTGATGCGCAAAGTCAGTGGAGTGGCCCATAAATAAACCATCTCTATCTTCTCACTCTTACCTTCATGCCCACATTTGTGTTGTGCATGTCCACGCGTGCGCGCAGGTCCTTGTTGGAGCGTTTGCCCAGGAAGTCCTTGACAAACTTGTTGGCGTATTTGAGGTTGTCTCCACAGCCTCCCCACTGCCACGCCTTGCGGTTCTCCAGGTCCGGGGCTTCGTCACACGTGCAGCGCTCCATGCGTCCCGCGCTGCAAGCTTTGGCCATTGCGTGGGTCAGGCCCGCCGAGGAGATGGCATACAAGAAAGCTGTCTCTTTAAATCCTGGGAAAGAGCAGTGGAGGGTGACAGATGAGAGGCAGGAAAATCTAGCGTATGTAAAGGAGTTTTAAGCTCTTTTAATTCTATTTTTTATTTCCTATGTTTAAAGAAGCTCTGTGCGACATTTAGGACATATCTACGATTCAGAGTCTGATTCTGATTCATGCACTGGGTTCTCAACATAATGGCAAATGAGCCAGCAGCTAGCAGCTAACGTTGCTACCAGCGCCAACAGCACTGACAGCGGCATCAGTGCTGACAGAGCTAACTTTAACCTGGGGGGAAACCGGTGGGTGGCTGCTACACTTCTGTGACTGTCAGGATGGCATTATCAGTGGAAACCGCCATATGAGCACAGTTTAGAGTGGCGGCGATATGCTAGCCAGTGGGATACACACATGCACTAACATGCACACATCGCTCGACCATCCATCACAACAACTAACAGAGAAGCTTGGATTACAGCACACACACAGGGAGCATGACTTCATTCTCTGCTCAGGACGCCATTATACCACCATATCTTTGCACAGCAAATAGTTATTTGCCGCTATATTAATGCTCAGAAAGTCGTACACAGCTCCTTTAAACACAGGGTAGTAAAATGTACGGATGTTTCAGTTGCCTTCCTCAGTGTGAAATATTTGAGAGATACAAGGTTTGTTTTGAGAGTTCAGAAGGAAAAGAAAAGACTGTACCTCTTTTTAGTATGTTGGCTCGGTGTCGGCCCTCTAAGGTGCAGTTCCACCTCTCAAAGCGGAATTGATACTGGCATTCTAGGGCGCTCATGGTGATGGCCTCTCTCAGGGTCTCCGCCACGCCCGGGTCTCGTCTGCACATCCTGCGCTGCTTCTTTTCCAGTTTGAGCCGGTCGCACAGCTTGTAGTGGGCCCTGCCCACGTTCTCCTCTGGTAAAGAGTTCAGTGGCAGGATAGACAACGGTTCATTACCTGTCAACCTAGAGGGAAAGATCACAGACGCACTCAGGTCAGTTAAAACAGCGCACAGGGAGGGAGCGGATTCATCTTGATAAAGGTTCCAATAAAGTGCAGGATGCCGACCTTCCTGGATAAACAATAAGAGTTGCAAAGATATACTACATAAACAGCACAGGAAGTACAGCTGGGGCATATAATGCTCAAAAGTTTGGTTAATGTTCAAATGAATTCAGCTGTTCAGTGGTTAATGTTCAGGGGAATTCAACATTTGCTGGAGATTGAGATCAACCTCCAGCGCAGGCGTGTCTGTGTAGAGAGCAAACTCTCTGCAGAGGTGGAAGAGTTCTTTTCAAAAGAAGTTCCTGACACCGTTTTGTCCCTGTTTTAGACACAGAACACAGAACCAGCGGCGCTACAGTGCTGAGAATCTGTGATTGATCTTATAATTTGTTTAAGCAAGAAAGCATTCAGCTGGTATGGAGACATATTTTAAACAATGGCATGCGGTGAATGTTACAGTCATTCAACATGCATGTGAAACAGTAGCCAGTGGATACTTGGTTTAATATTTATATTATATCCTGGGGGGGGGGTCACTCACAGCAGCACTGTATAGATTTAAACATGATCACACATCACAGGATTCATTATAGAAGCCCAGTTTTCAGGATCTTAAAGCTGCGATTCATTTGAAATATAACAAGCAGAAGTTTCAGTTCTAAACATGGTATGGAGAACATGTGGTAGACTCACACTCCTTTTCGTCAGTTTATTTAAGGGAAGCGTATATAAAACACACAAAGCGGGGACTGCCACATAGCTGGCAAAACCGACGACCAGCGTTCTGAGGTTGTGATGGGGAGAGCAGAGCATTACTTTCATAAACACACACAGGGGACATGACTGTCAGCCTGTGACCATTTTGGTCACACCAACTGACAGGATTGGCACCATAGTTGTTCATTATGTGGAATTGCTGGCCTCCTTTACACCCTTAAAGTGAAACTGAAGAATAAATGGATTTACAGAACTCACAAAAGCACAAGTCTTCTGGCCAACGTGACTTTGCAGACGGACTCAGGACACTTTTGTGCACTGGTTAACACCTCACCTAATACTTCTACTATTTTCACTGATGACGGAAATCTTCAATTTTAATCGTTGTGTCTCAACTGATGCAACACATTCTTACTCCGACTTCATCATTTATCAGCTTTTGGTCATGAAAAGTACCCTGTGTGTGTTAGTTGTTGACGTTCTGGGACACCAGAAGGTGTCAAGTTCTGCCTGTTACATGCATTGTCTACTTTCAAAATACACTTCAGTTTTTGCAGGAAATGCACAATTTACATACAGTTTCTTTCAAAATAAAGGCAATAAGTCAGTACAACAATACAAATTGACATTTTTTGTCCTCCAACAACAAACGCACGTGGATAGGTTTAGAAAAAAAGAGCAGGGTTTAGCTTTCTAATCTTATGGGACACGAACACTACTCTCCCGGTTGAAAGTCGATGTGAACAATCCACCCGCCCTACTCTGACTCTTGCCACGTTTCCCCCTGATGCCGCAGAGCAACGTTAAACTATAACAGCTTTTTTGTTGTTGGTGTCTGACAACTTTTTGGAGTATTTGTACTTTAATTTGACTTTTTATATTTGCGTTAACTTTAATTTTTACTCTACTACATTTACTAAATAAATACTTTGACTCACATTTCCCCAAATCTTTTTTGTTACTTCATTACAACAAAATACAACTGGAAAGCTTGGCAGATCAGTAGTCCTAGCTTGCATGTCAGATCATAAGTTAATCACGTAAGTGCAGACAAGTGCTCTTGAAGCTGCAAATAATTTTTGATTTCCAGTCACATGCAACACACTCGCAACTACATGTGTACAATTCCACTTGTTGATGAGACTGACTTCATGATGGAAGCAGAAAGTCCCACAGCAGAGAGGGTGAGTAATGACTCAAGGAGATAAAGATTTTTTTCAGATGACTGTACGGTGATTGCTTGTGCATTGCTTCACAGCACAAATGTTCTTTAAAGCTTTTAAGTTGTAAAGAAGTGTAACCCTCCCTTTTTAAGGTGGTGTATATTTAAGGAAAAAATAAACACAATTCTGAACATGTTTTTCCATTAAGGACATCCACTTGTACTTTAAATTCCAATACTTATATCAGATATAGATATCAGCTACTTTAAGACTTTCACTCATGTAGTATTCTAATAGGTGACTTTAACCTCTACCAAAGTCATTTCCTGGTAAGATATCTGTACTTTTCCTCAAGTGTGACGAGAAGTGTGTGAGAAGTCCACACAGCCAAATAAATCAAAAGAAATCCAACCAAGAGTAACCACAGCAAACCTGCCACATGGCTGTATTTAACCATGCAGTGTAAAAAATGATTCCACAATATTGTTGTAAAGGTGCAGAGCACCTGTTGGATGTCCACACCAGTTTGGTTAATGGAGCAGAAGTGTTGACCGGTGATCTACATTACTTACATTTTTGACTTCATTACTGTTTTTCAGAGACGATTCTGTCACCACTCATATTCGCTTCAGCCTCGAGCAGAAGGTCACAGGAGTTCTTGAACAACAGATTTGTTTTAATAAGTCCAATAACTGACTGAAACGTTTCCCCCCGGGTCCTCAGTTTCATACCAATGGACTTAATAGCTCACATATGCTATACGATATTGTCTTTACGATGCATTCATGGCCTGGTTGAAAATCCGAGCAGTCAAATCAAAAAGGAGGCGTTGGGATTTGCTTTCAGATTGGGTCAAATGGTTTCCTTTTTACAAAGTGTGTTTGCCTTTCCCTAACTTGTCTGACAGCTATGAATTTTCAAATGGAAACCTGGCAAGCTGTGTCTTGACAGAGATTGCTCTCCCAACACACTTAGAGAGTAAAAAAATGTATGGTTTGAGGCGTACAGAGCGAAGCATGCACGATGCACGAGGACTGTCTCGCTGTGAATAACATTTTCCTCTTATTTGCCTCATGCTTTGTTAAAATACACCCAACGAACAATGCCAGGGAAACGTGTTCAGAGTGCCAAAACAAACAATTCCAGCTGACCCGGTGTGTTACATATGACTGACAACCGTTCCACAACATTTCTATGGCAAGCAGGCAGTCAGGGATTGAATGATGGCGCCACGTGGAGTACCTGCTTAAGTCCATTTGAAACACCAGAGGGGAATAAAAAATCACGAGAATTCAAGATATGTCTCAAATTCACACCACAACAGGAAGCTTTACTGCTGAATATGTCTGCAACTTAAAAAACAAGCAAATATTATGGAAACTGTGTGGTGCTTAGCAATATGATCCAACAACAAACGGTGGTCTTAATTTACTCAATACCACCAACATGACGTGCACATTCCTCAGTAAGGCATGCATAGTAACACATATCAGCGTCGAATCTTCCAAAAGCCCACAAGCCTGCCAAAACAAGACACCATTAGAGTGACAGACCTCAACTGTCTGTGTGACGTCTGCCTGTCTGAGACAAAAAGATGGTCTGAGCAGCGCTGGAGGGAGTCCAAAGATGACATGACACTGATCTCAGCGCTACTGTCTCTGCGGCTTTTTTACACAAAGGCATATTTCTAGCTAGTTACAAAGACAGCCCGGAGGCAAAGCATGGAGAGGAGAGATTTGAGAGCGGAGAAACACTTTACGTCTCCAGAGAAGAAACTACTGGCCAGGGCTCGCTCTTGTGCGTGTTTCCACTCTGCGGCAGACCAGAGAATACTCAAATAGTATCACAGATGTACACTGATTCCATCTCGCCTGTCTACTGATAGATGCACTTTTTAGATATTTTTTAGATATTTTTTAAGATTAAAAGCATTTAATGTCAATCATTCATCTTTGATTCAACTTTGCTGGAAATTAAAGATAATATTTTCCCTGGATGCAGGACTGTGACCCCTGCTGTCACACAAAAGGGTCACACATTCCAATATGGTGATCTGCAAAAAAAAAAGAAAAAAGAAAATATCACTCTGCTGTTTGCGAAGAGTGAACTCATTCAACTCACTTAGAGGAAAGGAGAACTGGAAAACAGAGCAGTGGCTGAATCACAAAAATCATTACCGATGTGAACTTGAAATCTTCGGTCAAAAGGAAGTCAGTTGTGTGTTTTCCCATAACGATGACCTCTTTTATGAGGAAAATTGAAAAACAACCACGCCATCTCTGACAACTTAGTGAAGCTCAGTTATTTTACAAAAATACTGGGCATCACTTTCTAATGATGGACTATTTTATGAAGGGTTTAACAATCATATTTAATGGCTATATTGAGGGTTAATAAACTGTGTACTAAAGCTTTATAGGCTATTAATAAAAACTTTTTCAGTCTGTGGAAAATCTCTTTGTCTGATCGAACCATATTACCACTTTCCTTCTACATTCCCAGGTCATCAAACACATCACATCTCACCCACTGGTGTCTGATAGCGATGCACAGGACGCCCTTCAGCATATCTATGTTACGCACAGTTGAAACAAACTGTAACACGTGGGTTATGCTGTCAAACATTTACTGTTAGGTTTAGGCGACAAAACTAGAAGTTTAGAAAAAAACATCATGTTTAGGGCCAAAATAAGTAAGCTTCTTACATCAGTGCGCAATGACCGTTATGTAACGTTACTTTACGCTACAACACCCTGACTTTTGGTTTCACGTGGGACACAAATTGGTCTCCTGGGTGTAAGTCTTGTTTTGTTTGACCCATCCATTACACCAGCTCTCAGCATCAAGTATTGCTGTGTATGAATTCACACTAGAGTTAGCTGAAAGCCTGGTGCATCTCATAAAGACGCTAGAGGGTCACACTCCAAGGGGCGTGACAAAGCAGCCTGGCACTTGGGCAATGACTTGCTGCGTCAGACACTGACGAAAAAGCTGTCCTTTAATGTGTGCATGATACACAGCCAGTTGCCATTATAGTTTAGGGGGAAACATGGTGAGACAGTAACGAAAGTTGAGGCGAG